TTGAACTTTTCGTAAGATGAAGCATTCGTAAGTAGAGGTACCACTGTATTCCTTATTTTAGACAGTATATATGCATTTTAAATTTTGATCTAAATCTAGAACTAAAGAATATACATAGTTGTCTTTGTGGTCATTATGTATTGTACCTATGGGGTTGCATGCCTGTGCAGAGCAATTTCTCAGATTTTGTGTGTCTCAGCACTTGGCAAAATTACAGGTTGTTTACCTGTGGCTGATCATCTCCAAGTGCTCATTTGTATAGTTACATATACGGGACTCCTCACCTGAAGACATCTTGCAACCTTCTTTGGGCAGAAGCCTTGCCTACCCCCTCTTAATCATATGCTTAAGGCTCCATTTTGCTTCCAATCTCAATTCACAGTACAGTAAGAGTTTTGGCATATCGTTGTTCTATGTCTTCAAGTAGACTCTGATTTATGGAAACTCTGTCACAGGATTCTTTCTTGTTCAGAGGAGGTTTGCCATTACCTTTTTCTTAGGCTGAAAGTGTATGACTTGCCCAAGGATACTTAGTGGATTTCCATAGCCATGAAGTCTCCCAGATGCGTAGTCCAATCCCTGGTCTCCCAGATGCGTAGTCCAACACTCAAACCATCACACCATGCTAGCTCTGTTTTTGATCTACAACATACTAAATGGCTGGGGACTGAGGTATCTGAAAGATGCCTCCTCACATATGAGTCTGCTCAAAATTTGGGATTTTCACAAAGCTAGGTTGGTGTACACCTATTATAGGGAAGAGAAGTTAGGCTGGGTCCATCTCTTTTTGAATCTGTCAGCTAAAACAGCGATGTTCTGCATGGCTTATGATTTTTGAAACTGATCTGTTTTAATTGTGTATTTTAAAACTTTTAAGGACTATGTTTAGACTTTTTGCTAGTTTTTAAAGAGAATTTTAATTTAAAAAAATAATGTGTGGAGTTTTAATTTTTTTTTAACTGTTGTGCACCATCCCAGGAGCCTTGGTGAGCTGTGAGGCAATATATAAATATAAGCAAATATTTTTTTTTGGTCTTGTAATAACCAACAAAATGATAGCAAAAACAACAACAAAACAGGGCCCATCAAAGTGATGCATCAAAATGCATAGATGGCCATTTGAACTGCAGTGTAGGAAGCAGCCTGTTTGTCTTCTTTGTGGTTTCTCTGCATTTACATGGGAAGCAAATAGCAAAGTTATCCAAAGTGAGGCTGGTGGGAGGTGCAAAACATGTCTGAACTAGTACAGGTTGAGTCTCCCTTATCTGAAATGCTTGGGACAAGAACTATTTTGGATTTCAGATACTTTTCAAATTTTGGAATATTTGCATATACGTAAAAGATATATTGGAAATGGGACCCAAATCCAGTATGTTATGTGGACAATTTTGGAGTATTTCAGATTTTGGATTTCCAAGTAAGAAAGACACAACCTGTACTACTTAATTTTTATGCCAAAGTAAAGTAAATCAATTCTTAGTACATGTTCATTGGTCACTAAGAGCAACCAAAAAGGTAACATTAACAAATAAACATTCTAAGAAGATTGTAGCTAAATGCTCCATAAGTGGCTTTCTTAATTGTGACAAAATTACCAAAAAACTGAGGTGTAAGTTGAATAGGTGGTGAACCTATGGCAGATGTGCCAGAGGTGGCACGCAGAGCCTTCTCTGTGGGCACACGTGCCGTCACCCATCACAAAGTTTGCCAGAATTCATTATTAGAAAGCCAGAAGGACACCACTTTGTGATAAATAAGTGGGTTTTGGGTTGCAGTTTGTACGTTCTGTCTATAAAAGGTTCTCCATCACTCTAATAGGGGAACAGAGATTTGATAGGCCTCACAGAAAACATTTAACCTCAGACAGTGAAAACAAGGAAGTAGGAGGAACTTACTGGAGTACGAAGGCAGTAATTGCTACTAAATATGCCTCAGTAGAAAGAAAGTTCCTTGTGCAGTAGGTTATTGAAAACAAAAACATTTGACAACGAGAACAGTGAGAGGGATGTGATTCTGTTGTTCAGCAGACTTGCAGAAAGCAGATCACTTAGGGCCTTTGCAGACTGCAAGAAATAGTGCACATTAAATTGAGGCACTGCCCTGGCTCAGTGCTAGGGAATCATGGGAACTGTAATTTATTGTGGCACCAGAGCTCTCTGACAGAGAAGGCTCAATGTCTCAGAAAAAAATACAATTCCCATGATTCCCTAGCACTGAGCCAGGGCAGTGCCTCAATTTAATGTGCACTATTTCTGGCAGTCTGCAAAAGCCCTTAGTTGTGTAAAACAGTGTAGTTTCCTTGTTCCTATCAAAACTACCAACAATTCTCCACTTAGCCTGAATAGCTAATGAGTGCAAGATGGGTGTGTAATGAGATGGTTGAATTATTATTATTATTAGAATAATATTTTTAGCAATAATAATTATTATTATTACTAGAAAATAATTATAAATAATAACAACAACAATAATAATCTTACCTGCTTCTCCCCACAAATTGTGGCAAGGAACAACAATTAAGACAAACAACATCAGTTAAAAAGACATCAGTTAAAAAACACATCAGTTTAAAAGGCCAAGCAAGATGTGCACATAGTAAAGGAATCCACATTAAAAATTCGCCATTTAAAATTTGCCATTTAAAAATCATCTGGATAAGCCTGCCAGAAGGGACTGGTCTTTAATTCTCTTTTAAATTCAGACAGTGTATTCAGCTGTCAAATCTCTTCTGACAGGTCATTCCTCTGTCTAGGGGCAGCTGAAGAAAACATCCTCAGGCTGACCATTGCCAGTTTAATCTTGGGGCTGACTGGAGTAAATGTCTGCCAGAGCACCTGAGTGTACGGGGTGGATTATATGGGAGGGGGTGATCCTTTAGGTAACCTGGACCCAAACCATGTGGGGCGTTAAAGGAAAATGAAACAAAAAATAGAGAATAGAGAAGAATGGAAAAGTCTGTCAAGGTCACCAGGAGTTAACAAAATAGTTTGTTATATTTCACCTGATTTTTGCCCCACTTTGGCTATCATTAGAAGTGGGGGAAACAATAACAAAACAATTGTTATTGTTTATAGAAAGTTTATAGGATGAAGACATTTCCTAATGACCTCAGTCCTATTCCTACTCTGTTGCAGTGTAGCAGATGTGAAGCAAACAGCTCTGCTTTGGGCATTTCTCATCTTATGAAAAGTTGATTCTTCAGAACTGGATTCATTATTCATTCCTGTAAACATGTTTTTCCTGTTCAAACAATCTGTAAGGATAATTTTTTTCTCCTGAAAAATGAATCACTATCAGCTAGGTGTGACTGTGGATGCACCAGTACCAAAGATGTTGAGTCAGGTAGAGCAACATACTGCTTGTTCAGGTAACCAAACTACTGTCATATTGTCTGTTGCTATCTTCACTTTAATAATGGTAGCAAAGCTATGTAGTTTGAATTGTCGTTGCATTAAAGTTGTTTACAATTTAGGATGACACTTATTTATTTATGGGCAAGCCCATTATGTGCTTTTCTTGGAAATATTTGTTCAGAGGGAATTTACATTTGCCTTCCTCTGAGACTGAGACAATGTGACTTCCTCAAGGTCACCCAGTGCGTTTCCATAGCTGAGCATGGATTTGAACCCTGGTCTCCAGAATCATAGTACAATGTACAAACCACTAGACCATTCTGGCTGTCTCATTTTGAATGCTGTAAGTAATTTCAGTGCATTGATGTGCATTTTGGAGTCTGCCTGGACTGTGATCACCACAACCTGTATTCAGTACATTTGCAGTTGAGCTGTTTTCCATCCACAGGTGGACTCCATACTTTTAAAAATAAAACCCAAAACCAGCCTTAGTCTGGATGCTAAGTAGGTCCTACCACCTAGCATACTATTTGGTTTCAAGAGTTGCCAACCTTAGTCAACAGCAGCCATTTGTGCACTTTAAAGTTTTGTATATTGTGTAAACATCGATAACTAACAAGATGTCTCACAGTGATGATATGAGGGGATACGAAAGGCGCTGCTAAGCATTTTGCACATTACAAATGTTAAAAGAACTAACAACCCTGATACCATTACAGGAATGACAATCTGGACTATGCCAGGCTTTGGAGTACAAGCAGTTCATGGAGTTCCATGAAAAGTACCTGTAATCAAAAGTTCCATTATGAGAAGAATTGTATTGGTAGATAAGATATCTGACAGTTTAGCTTACCTAATTCTGTGGCTCTGCATTGCAAGGAACAGAGATGCAGTGATAAAAATGCAGGCCCTGATCATAACTGTTATGATATTTAATAATAATAATAAAAATAATAAAATTTATTTATATCCCGCCCTCTGCAATGCAATTGGGGTGGCTTACAATAGTAAAACATCACAAATATACAGTCCCAGGACCCACCCACCCCTTAAAACAGTATTAAACATCATAGAGTTAAAACGACAACAAACAATTAAGCAATTAACAAAAATCATAGTGGCAGAGCAGACAATGAGTAGCAGATATGGTAGGGAATAGGGGAAGGCCTGAGCATTTGGCAGTGCTTGCAAGGAATGGACAAAAATTCAGATGGCTGTGTTGATCTCTCTTTTTAAAGCAATTTGCATCTCCACCAGGAGCAGGTGTTTTGTACAACCAAATTCATTTTCATACCACTCCAAATATTTTTGGACAACAGGGATGTAGCTCATAACAATGCCTTGCTGCTGGAAAACCAATTTCCCCTCCACATTTTGCAGGGATTAGTTAAACTCAGAGGATACAGGGGTGTCCAAGGGGTGGGGTGCCAGATGATGTTGACATCCCTGCTAATCAAAAAGTCATAGGGCTTCAACCCAACAAGCCCTGGCTTTACTACACCATTGGCAGGTGTAGAAGAATAATGTTCTCCAGATCACAAGGTAGTGGCCTGCAAGTGGGTGTAAAGGAAGAAGGAAATGCCAGATGGAACTCAGAAGTACAAAGCCAGGCTTGTTGCAAAAGGTTTTCCACAGGAAAGGCATGAGAGTTATGATATGACCTTTTCTCCAACAGCCAAGCCTGAGAGCTTAAGGATAGTGTTGGCAGTAGCAGCAGAAAGGAAACTTGAGATAAGGCATTTTGATTTTGAGACAGCATACCTGAATGCATGTTTGGAGGGGACTATGTACATGGAGCAAATGCAACCCCCCTTTGAACAAACCTTGCCCCCGTCCATGATAGGTTTGCCTTAGGATGGTAGAAACAAGGTATACAGGTTGAAGAAAGCCCCGTATGGATTGAAGCAGAGTGCTAGATGCTGGAACAGATGCATTCATGATAAGCTTGTCAGACTTGGATACCAACACAGCATGGCTGATGTGTGTATGTGTGTACCAAGGGTAGTGTTATTCTGATGATATATGTTTATGATCTTTGTGTGGCTGCAAGTAGCTTGGATGATGTGAAGCATGTACAGGAAGAGTTAGCAAGAAAATTCAAACTGAAAGATTTGGGCAGTTTGAAGACTTATTTAGGAACTGAAGTGGAGAGAACCCAGGATGGGGAGATTCTGTTGTGTCAGAGGAAGAAGATTGACAGGATTGTGGAGAAATGTGGATTGAGCAATGCTAAGGTATTAAGACGTGCCATCACACCTGAGTTTGCTAGTTTAGAGTCAGATAAATTGTTGAGCATCCTGAATTGTTCCATTCAGTGCTCGGTAGTCTTTTATTCATTGCAAACAACAATAGACCAGATATCAGTTTTGCAGTGGGGTTGTTGAGTAGGAGAACCTCAAAACCTGGATTAGTGGATTGGGCTGCTTTGAAACATGTGGTGTTGTCACATTTTCATTTCATTGCTTTGCCAGGGCATTTATATGCAGGCGCAAAGATGCACATTTCAGTCTTGGGTCGGACTATCCCAGTTTCTTTTTCCTCCGATTTTTAGCCCCATAGTGTGGCTTTGGTCCAGTTCCCAGCCACTTTCAAGGTGTGCATCATCTACACACCCCATTTTCAAAGCGGCTGGAAACTGCTTTATTTTGCCCATCTGTTTCACCCCTCAGTGATCAGAAATCAGACCTGTACCTGCTTTAAGGAATTATGAACTCCAATCATAAGAAACTTTGCTGATATTTACATAGTTCTTTAGCCTGAAAGAGAAGAGCGTTGAGTTAAGGCTCAAGATTTTAATTTTAATTTGATCCAAGCTCAAGTCTGTGGTTAAAGTGAGTTCAGGCCCAGGATGCTTATCCCAGGATAACTAATAGCATTTCATGTGTGGGGGGGGCATTCTCGAAATTCTCGAAAGCATAATGCACAAATTCTTTTCTGCGATCTCCATGAAACTCCTATAGAATCACAGTCATAAAACAATTGTTTTTTGATAGAATAGCCACCAGAAAACCACAGTAAACAGTAAATTGCATTACACTGTATTTGTCCAGGCTGAAAAAGGCTGGAAGTTTTCAAGGCTGTTTTGCTAAAAGAAGTAACTATTTTAAAACTCCACAGGTTAATATGCTGTGTTTCAGGAAGCCTGTTGTATGGAAAATCTTCTTTAACAAAAAATGCTTTCCTTCTCTAATGCAGCAGAAAGTAAGGGTGAGGAACTGTGGCAGCGATGTTCTTACATACTAATTTAGATCAGGCTTGAAGCGGTATGTGAAATGAATATGAATGAGTCACAATTGGTGCTTCTGCCAGGAACAGTCTATTTCACAGGCTATTGACTATATAATTTGATAGAGATAATGGGGCTTTTAGACTAACAAAACTAGAACATATTTGTAAAATGCACACTTGACAGTATTTGGATGTCTGAAATTGAATGACTTAGAAGCCACTTTCCCTTTGTTCCATATTGAAAAATAAAGTCAATTAAATTTCGTCAGGTTCAGACTTGGATTAGTTTACAAACTTATTTATAAAGTCCCTTCCTCCCATAGTGAAATCTTTTGTTCTGCTCTTGAGAACATGATACAATTTGCAATGTTTATATTTATTTTAAATTCTGCAATTTAATACAAGCTACATTGTAAAGCTAAACTCTTGCAAATATTGTATATCTAAAAAAATGTGAAAGTTGATGAAAGCCACTGATGGCCTAAATTTCCTATAAATATGTTATCTAAGATACTAACATCAGAAAAATATTGCAGGCCTTCCCCCTCCTTCCATTAAACCTTATCTGCCCTGTAGGCCCTAGATAACTCACCCAGCTTAAGAGAAAGAAAGAAAGAAAGAGACAAAATTTTGCAGTGCCCTTGTCTGGTTGCTTGGAAGTAATTATTTCTTTCCACGGACAAGATGGGTGACTGCTCTGTAAAAAGCTTCTTGATGTACAAGAGAGATAAGTTTATGCCAGGGGTTCTGATAATATGTCCAGGAGCAGATTTACTGGATCTTTTCTGACTTGAAGCTTTATCCAGTTTCAGAATTTTTTTTAAATCAACAAAAACCCCAATGCAATTTCCCCACCTGTATTCTGAAGCTAAACCATGTGCTTTTTCTGAACATATTCACTGTTGGCCATGTGTCCTATTTTACAGAAGAAGTTCTGTTTTAAGACTTGTCAGAGGACAGACTTCTGTTAGAGGGCATCATCAGTTGATAGGGCCAGTCCACATCCAGTTGAAATATGAACTGTAGGAAGGAAGAACAGGGGCCGTGAAGCTGCTTATCAGCAGTTAGCAACAAGCCAGTTGATCGCAAATCACATAGGTCGCCATATCAGTCCTCCCCAGTGTGAGCAGATGTGTTGTATTTCTCTTTATGGTCATTTTTATAAATTTACATATATGTGTGTGAGAGCCATTGTGGTAGAGTGGTTTGAACATTAGATTACCACTCTGGAGACCAGCAGGGGTCAGCAACCTGCGGGCCCCCCCCCACCCCCTGCCCCCCCGCTGCTGCTGCGTGTGCCGTGGCCACCATTTTGTTTGCCAAAATGGCGGCTGCAGCTTGTTTGCGCATGCGCAGTACTCCTGTGCATGCGCAAATGAGTCGTGGCTGCCATTTTGTTTGCCAAAATGGCGGCCATGGCATGCGTGGTGGCAGCAGCTGCACACATGCACTTGAGCACGCGCGCTGCCATTCCCCCCCCCCACCGGCCCGGCGAAGACCTGGGGACCAGCGACCGGCCCCAGGTAAGAGAACCTTGCTGACCCCTGAGACCAGGATTTGAATCCCTGCTCAGTTATGGAAACCCACTGGCTGACCTTGCACAAATCACACTCTCTCAGCCTGTGAGGAAGGCAAATGCAAACCCCCTTTGAACAAATCTTGCCCCCATCCATGATAGGTTTGCCTTAGGATCACCATAGGTTGGAAACAACTTGAAGATAGACAACAACAACAACATATATGTATACACTGACATGAGATTTTTGCTAGTGTGGGTGTTAGGGGATTAGACTACATGAAGTATGTTATATGCAGCAATACATAGATCTTTGCTAAACAATACATCAGCCTACTAAATTTTTGCAGAGCATTGTGTTTGTGGCAAGAATTAAGGTGAACAGAGCAAAAGCAGACAGCCTTTGATTCAAGGTGTGCAAGATCTTTGCACCTTCAGTAATTAGAGAACTAAAAGTGACAGCTGCCAACATTTTTATTTTAATTAATTACATCTTTTAGCTTTCCTACATCTGACAGGAGATCTTACTAAATGACTCCCCAAACCCAGTATAACTCTGTGAGTCTGATTAGACTGAAAAA